GTGGTTTGAGACAGGGTTTCTCTGTGGCTTTGGAGGCTGTCCTGGGACTAACTCTTGTAGACCAGGCTGGTCTGGAACTCACAGAGATCCACCTGCCTTTGCCTCCCAAGTGCTGGGATTAAAGGTGTGCGCCACCAACGCCTGGCTGGACTTTTTTCTAAATAATGGAGTACCCTGGTAGCAATAGACAGAAAATCCATGCACGGGGCCTTGCCCAGCTTAAGTGCTCTAACTTCCACGCATTATGATTGCACATTCTTCTGAGTGGCCCAATTCAGAATTTAGTCAGTTTAGTCAGTTTAGGTTAGGGAAGGATTTTACAGGGGACCATACTTTTCCCATTTAGCATAGTGTAGCTAGAGGTCATTAGCTCTAAATGCACTTCAGGGAAACTTTTGTTTCTTTTTTTGTTTATAAAATGCACTATGGGGGAAATCAACTACAATCTCTTTCTTAGTGTGTGTGCGCAACAATTAAGTGACGCTGCATAGTCTAGTAATACAAGCTGGTGTCCTGGCCATGCACTTCTGTCTTCCCCTCAGGAGGAAGCTTGGTTTGTAGTCAAGATAATGCCTACTATTTTGCTTGTGAGTACACTTGGACTAGGAATATGGATGACGGTGGCCCAGACACACTGATGATAATACGATTCAAAGTAATCATACAGAGCTGGACTATTTCTTGTGGCACTCACTAACAGTTCCTCAGAGTTTTCAGAATTCACTCCCTGAGCCTCACTGGCTTTGTTGTCTAATAACTTGATCAGAGACAACTTCTGTCTCTAGTGATACTTTATTGAGTCGGCAGCCTGGACAGCTGCTAAAACCTGCAGACAGCTCAGAGAATCAAGGCCTGGTGAACGGGCCAGAAGGAATAGCTTGTGTTTAAACCCTTGGTAAACTTGACCTGCTAGCCGGTTTGGTTTGGTAGCACAGTGCACTTGAGTGAACCGGGCACTAGGTCAGAGGCCTGCATTTTCAGACACCAGCTGTCAAGGTTAGCTAGCAGTTAGCTAATGAGTAAACCGGCCCGTCGTGTACTCTCTGTTGCTTCATCTTCTGAAGGATGGCTGAAGGGAGTGACCCTATCTTGGAATTTGCTGATGGCTGATATTTCATTAAACTGTTGTTTCTTTGGGAAAACCAGCTTCCTTGGGTGTTCCCACGGTGAAGCTGAAGGCATTCGTGAAGGTGTTTTTGGGGGGAGCAGGGCTTGGTTTGGCCCAGGGAGACAAGGACGTGGCTGATATCGCTCACCTTTCTAACTCTACCTCTTGCTCCACAGACCAATGAGTGGAACAAGAACGATGACCGCCTGCTGCAGGCTGTGGAGAATGGAGATGCTGAGAAGGTGGCCTCACTGCTGGGCAAGAAAGGAACTAGTGCCACCAAGCATGACAGCGAGGGAAAGACCGCGTAAGAGAAAAACTGGTTTTCACATGTGCTTATTAAGGGTTGGGGAGCATTTCCGTGGTAGAGTATCTGCTAAGTATCTGCCAAGGGCTCCATCTCCAACACTCTAAGAAACAAGCAAATAAAAACCCCCAAATATTAGCTATTTAGGGTTTTTGGCATGGGCTCCAGAATCCCTGGTATATTGAAGGTAGTTTGATCATGTTTCAGGAGACTTGGAAAAGTCTCTACCGATCCCTTCCTAACCCTGTGCTAAAACATGTATGGGTTTGTTTCCTTTCCCATCAAGGTCCAAATTATACATTGGACTTTCCCTAGTGGCTGTGTTTGTTCCTGGGAACAACCAACCAACCATTGCACCAGGGAACTAATAGCAACAGGCTTGCAAGCAGTTGGTAGATAGGAAATAATTCTCCCCTGGATAAGAAACAGCACAGCTCTCAACCTTCAACCTTACTTCGTAATTTGTGAAGCCACTCTTTGGCATAGGTAGTGATTGTGTGAACACTGTAGTAAGGTTTTTGCTTTATGTTTGTATGCATCAAAATCCTGCTTGCCATAATTAAAACTTTGTGTTGAGAGAGAGGAGGGAGGGAGGGAGAAAGTCAGGGAGGAAGGGAGGAAAGAAGGGAGGGAAAGGGGGAGGGAGGAAGGGAGGGAGGGAAGGAGAAGAGAGGAGAGGAGAGGAGCTTAGAACCATCTTTACTCTGGTAGTGATATTGAAAACAGTGACTTTCGAGCCACACAGGCTCATGTGGACTCTATTATATATATGACCTCCTAATCCTTGAGCCTCCCTCTTTTTGTTCTTGTTGAGACAGGTTTCACTGTATCCCTGGTTGTCCTGGAACTCACTGTGTTGACCAGGATGGCCTTAAACTCATAAATACATGCCTTCGTTTGACTCCCCAAGTACTGGGATTAAAGGTGTGTGCCTCCATGTTTCTCTGAGTGTCACTTTGGTGTCCTCAGAAGCAGCTGTGAGACAAGGGCTTGCCTGCCAATTGCTTCTGTCACCAGAGATCCCAGCAGCAAGGGAAGGAAAGAAGTGTAGCTGTGGGGTTATTGGCAGGTTTCTCCATTTGGTGACTGGGTTGCTTTTCTGAGGACTTCTAGAAATATTAGACTTTTAGCAGAGTTGGCAGACATGGCTTTCTGTCTGTTGTTCATTAAGTCCTGGTCCACTGCTGCCCCTGAGCTACAAAGGCAGAGCTGAATAATTCTAGCAGAGGCCATATGGCTCCCAGAGCCCCAAGTTCTCATTGCCCGGCTCTTCATATAAAATGTTCATTTTCCTTTGAGTTTAGATAAAGCAAATGGGATATTTGTTCTTAATCTCCCATTCCTGAGAGGTGCAGTCTCTTCCTAGGGACCACCATGTGTTCACGGTTAGTTAGTAAAATTCCAGGAGAGTATGGATGGCCCATGGTTGTAGGCACTGCGTGCACAGAGCTAGCTAGCACAGTTCTCACTCATAGGAGACACTTGAGAAATGTCTCTTCTTTCCCATTCCATACTAGTGAGCAGCTGTAGTGGAATTGCCTGGGGCACTTTAAAAAAGGTGTTCTGAGTCTTTGCACCTTGGGAGGCTGGGGAGTCTATGCTTTTGTCCTGAGGATTCTGGTGACAGACAGCGTCTTTTGTATTAGTCTCCCACAGCCTTCCTGCAATTATTCCTTGTATCCAGGTGTCTGCATAAGACAGCCTTTTATAGTTATCCCTGGGGAAGGCAAGGTAAGTGCTTATGACACCTTTGACCAAGGCGGCATTCACTAAAAAGATGACAGAAAATTTCCATTTGCAACTTAGACACAGGCGTAAAGACCATGTGAAATTATTTCCTATTTATATGTGTAGAGTGGATGACTAAGGTGACCATGTTCTAGTCTCCCTTCTCTATTGTGATAAAGGGGTACATCACATAAAACTGGGCGCTGTAATGATTTAAAAATCTACAGTTTGGTTTCATCACACACTTTCACAGTGCTGTTCATCATCCCCAAGGAAACTCTGTACCCACCAGGACGTCACCCCAACCTCTCTCAGTCTTCCCTCAACCATCATTAATGAGCTTGCCATCTCTGTGCATTTATATTCACGTTGAGGTGGGGCTTCGAGACCAGAAACCGTCTTCCTTATCCCTTCAACACCCCATAACAATGTAAAATCGAACTTTCTGTTATAAAGGGCATCACTCCATTGCCTTAGCCTTCTCACCTATAGGTGTTGACTTCCCTGTGTCGTTGTTCCCCGTGATCTGTTTATTCCTGGAAAAGTTTGGTTGCTCCTGGTCTTTCTAGGTGCATTTGATTGAATAACACATGAACTGCATGTCCTAAGAATAGTTCAGAGTCTGTGACAGTCCAATACTAGTCTTGTCCCCTCAACTGCAGCTCTTGCCTCAGTCAGCCCAGTTGAGCTTCTAGTAACGATTGGTGCTCATTGTGGACATGTGTGAGATGATACACCCTTCCTTCTAAAGGATAAGGCCACATCATGAACTTGAACGTTACGTCCCTGACCAAGCTTGGTCTCATTTTCTGCCTTTTCCTTCCTTTCCTTATGTACAATTCCATAGCAAAATTAGGCTGCAGGATCCCTTTCTAGAGTGTTTTTAATGTTAGGGATTGTGCCTGTGAGAGCATAGTCTTGACATGGTTATTCAAGGCCATCTCTCAGCCACACCCTTATCTAGATGTTCTCTCCTTATGTATCTTCTTCTGCTATATGTCCCTACCTTCTCTTAAGTAAACTGTCCATGTCTCTGTCCAGGTTCTGTGTCCAGTGACACATAGAGGTACTGGCAGAACGGGAGCAGCTGTAATACTTCCACTAAGAAAGGCCTTGCTTTCCAAAGGGCCTTAATCTCATGCAGTGATTGAGCTCCAGGGGGACAAGGACATACCATTTTTGTTGGGTTTGCCTTTCCCTGTGTTCTTGGCACAAAAGAACCATTTGCTGTGAATGCTGTAGAAAAAACCCTCTTTTTTACCTAGAGGTGAATTAATGTGGGATCCAGGGGAAATAGCAATTCTGGGGAAGGATTACCACTGAGACCCCTGATTCCAGGGCAGTTTCAACAAAAAAAAAAAAAAAAAAAAAAAAAAAAAAAAAAAAAAAAACACAATCAGCTTGTACTATCCAGAGGACCAGCAAGCCCAGAAGTTCCAAGAATGTATTGATCAAAGTAGCCATTGCTCAATTGTTCTCCAGAAACTATCATAGCCCAAGACCAGATGGGTAGCTTAGAAATTCTTCAGATTTCTTAGTTTCTTCTTGAATATCCCCTGTCATGGCTAAAGGAGAAACTGTCAGAAGATATCTTCCTCAGACACTGATTAAGAGAGGGTTCTAAGAAGTAAAAGCAGTTGAATGACTCGAATTCATCTACAGAAGAGGTAAATCAGGGTGGTGCTCAGAGAACAGAATAGAGCAGGGCAGAAAAGATACAGCTCCAGGCTGTGTTTATGGAGTTAGGCTTGGGTTTCCTCTGCCCCATCTGTTCTCTTTTCATGGGGGAGGTCAGGAAGTGGGAGGCAGTCGGTACCCTGAAACCTTACCGTAGAAGAGTCTAATTGCTTCAAGATGGTTTCCCCTGTGTTGGACATGCCTTTAATTAGAGTTATGTGTGTTTGTCTTAGGAACAACTAGACTAAATAAAATCACGGCTGGGACCATAGTATTTGAACAAATACTCACTAGGGCATGTGTGCATAGACCTCAAAAGAGCATTGAGAGAGGGAGGGAGGGAGGGAGGGAGGGGGGAGAGAGAGAGAGAGAGAGAGAGAGAGAGAGCAAGGTCCACATCTCAGAAACCCAATCTCTTTGGCCTTGAAAGTAGACACTCCACAGATGACTGTGGAGCTGAAGTGTAAAGTAGAGAAGTAGGTTTTGATCTCTGCAAGCCAGTACAGTGAGACACTTCTCTGACTTGTGGCCCTTTCTACCCTCTGCCTTTCTGTTTGTTCGGAATAGGGATGCATGAGATAGTTGGTACCAGCAGTTCCATCTTAAAAATTGAGCCATGCCATGTGATCAGCCTTCTCTAATTTTTCTCACAAAGGACTTCCAAATTGTTTAATGGAAACCATTACAGACTGTGTGTGATTGGAGCCTCTGCCCACTTCTGTGTTGTCATTGCATAGCTTCCCTTTGAAGGTTGGTCTTAGATGGCGATGGGTACTTGGGCTGTAGATTTTATGAACTAAGTGTTTCTTGAAACTTCTCTGTAAATTGGGGCCCAGCCTGTGAGGTTCTTTATCCCCTGACTCACATCTTTCTGCTTCCAGTTGATACTTGATGGGTCTTAAGCTATACACACACTATTTTGAGTCACACAGTATTTTGTTTATTTTTGTGTGTAGGAATGTATAGGCGGAGTTTTTCATCCCATCAGCCCTCTCCCAAATAACTACACAGAGACTTTATATTAATTATAAATGCTCAGTCGATAGTCTAGGATTGTTTTTTTAGCTAGCTCTGATAAATTAACCCATTTCTATTCATCTCTGTGCTGCCCCGAGGCTCATTTACCTTATCTGTTAATTTCCCATGTTGCTTTTTCCTCATTTGGCTGTCAACTCTTTGTGACTCCCTTGACTCCACTGTTCTTCCCAGCGTTCTCTCTGTCCAGAAAATCCTGCCTAGCTCTCAGCCAATCAGCTTTTTATTAACAATGAGAGCAACACGTCTTCACCGCATACAGAAGGATTATTGCACAGCATGAGTGTTTTACTACATGTGTGCATCATGTATATGCTTTGTGCCCATGGTATCTGAAGAGGGCATCACACCACTAGAACTGGGGTTATGGATGGTGTGAGCCACCATGTGAGTACTGGCAATGGAACCTGTGTCTTCTGCTAGAGCAGTGAGTGCTCTTAACCTCTGAGCCATAGCTCCAGCCCCTACATCAACTTTTAAAGGTGAATGAAACCATTTGGGGCCTCACTTGACACTGGTTCTCCACTTGACTTTCATTAAATGGTGAAAGGCAGGCAATG